ATTTGAAGCATATTTAGATATACGAGTATTATCTAGTGTTGTTGACTTCACAACTATAAATTGAGACACAAAAAATATTTTACACGGATTCATAAAGCTATTTAAATTATTTTTTATGTTTATTATCAACCTCTATAATGTATCAAATACCGAATGATTTTTTTATTTATTACACGACTACTTAAAAAAAGAAGTGCAATTTTTACAGCATCCCGATCCCAACATAATAATTCTTTTAAAAGTATTTCATTTTAGAAAGAACAATAGTTTTTGTAGCAATATATCCATTTTTAACAAGTGTTCTTCTAATAATATCGATTTTTTTTTTAATTTCTATCGGTTGTAAATACGTATTTATCGTCGCATCACTAGAAGGTATTTGTTACAAAATGTTTATTTAATACGTTTCTACTCGTTCGTGTGTCTCGAGTGGGTGTAGATTGGCGGGCCAAGGTTTCTATCTCCATCAAAGCAATGTAACTAATGTCAATTTATATAAGAATTTCTTCTATAATATTTGTTAAAAATTCTTGTATTTTAACCGACTTCAAAAAGAACAGAAGATGATTCTCAAAACGATTGTATTTTTAGGTGTGCGTTTATGTGTTATGTTTGCCAATTGTGAGCCGATTTTGATGATTCTATATTTAGGATTTACACTCATGTTGAACTCCTTGTGTCAAGATTGAAGTCAGTATTCTTTGTACATCTTATACAATTTACAACTATATTAGTGACTAATTAATCAAAATAACAAATCGGCAAACCTAATTCTAATATTAAAACAAGTAAATATAATTTAAAATCACTTTAAAAAAACACCGTTGTGATGTCAAAATACCTATTTTTTCATCACAACGGTGAGATTTTATTCAGTTATTCGTTAAAAATCATTAACTATTCCAGTAGTATTTGTATTTGCGATGCGATGCAAGTGAAAAATTCAGAAGTACGAGTAGATAACGAAAACTAGATTTCCTACGTCAGCAAACCATTCAAGTTTTGTTTCAAACATTAGTCACATAGTTATGAATGGGTTGAGCGGGAAGGAGCTAAATATAGCACACGGCGGCAACAGGTGGCTTCTCCCTTCATAGGGTTGGTAATAAAATGTTTTTTTATTTAATTTAAATATATATTTTTCTTTAAATACAACGATGTGCATAGTTATTTTTAAAATTGTCCCGTTGCTTATACATATTTTAAATTATTAATCGAGACTTAATGCGATATCATTACAAATCATTGAAACTTCGACAATAAAAATCAGATATGTAGGTAGTTTAGTAGTTTACCTGTAAACACGTCCCGTTAAGCTCTGTGGGGTTACTCTTGAAATAAATTCTAAAAAGTCGATATTGAATTGAGAAGTTTCGCACTCTCGAATGGCATACAATACTAGCAATATACAGGTTTTATATTGTTCTGATGGATGCATATTAGTGTAACTTGCCAATGCAAACAATTGTATACCAATCCTAATCATAACCTAATTCCTAACTGATGCTTCATAAGAACAGTATAAAATTATCGTTGCAATAGATTGGATTGATATTGATATTAGATTCATGAGTAGACCTGCTGATCGTAAATTTAAAATACAGCGATACTAATTGTAAGAAAATTAATATACATATTGCAAAACATCTATTGTTAAAGAATTAGGCATAAAAAGCGATTAAAAATTCTTGAATATATCATATAAAAACAGACAAAAAAATCATAGTAAAATGAGATTCGGCGCCTTGGAATTACTTAAAAATAATACGCATCAGACCTAAGGCACTGAAACCCTATTATTATCGTCGTCTTGCAACAGGGTGGTTAAAATGGCAATTACTCTTATTCTCAAACCCCTCAGAGGTCTGGGTCCCCTCTGGGGAGAGGAGCAGATGGGCCAAGTCTATCCCATAATTATCTAGTGTCCACCGTATGATCTAAGCATAGATCAATTATGCCTAAAGATATCTTAGGTGAGAATACATTATATAGCTTTTTAAAGGGTCATGCCACCCCTGAAAAATAATCTTAAATATGTCAATGCGTCAGCCTTTTGCATCAGCAAATCTGCTTGAATATGCCATATATATCCAATATTGGGTATATACACCTTATAAGGTATGACTACTTAAGACTACATGAGTTTTTTTTTAAAGGGTGATAATGGAATGGTAACCCCACCCGTGCAATCGGTATACACCGGCGGGACACCAGTGAAGGATAATAGGTGAGGATAAAGTAGGTCAGTTAGCCCATCTTGACGAATTCAATAAGAATTGTTCACGCTGGTTTCCAGGGGGAACCACGTGGAGGTCGACCTAATAGGGTATATTGCTAACAATAGGGCTGTCAATCTCCATTGCTAACAATCTCTTTCTCCCCAAGACTACATGAGTAAGTCAATCTAACACCATTCCTTTAAGAAGATCTTATGACTTTAATACACGTGAATGTTTAAGGTTCGACGCTGATCATTAATCATAATTAATTACTGATTAAACAACGGTAATGACTGATTAAATATAAAAATCAGTAGCTGATAGATAAATACTTCAAATAAATAAATCAAAACAAGGGTCAACCCTATCACTCCACCCATGTATGGCTACCAATGTGAACTCTGAACCGCCCTAACTAATACATTCAGTACATTGTACGCTACATAGTGAAAACGCTTTCACACCACTTTCCCGATTTACATAAATTTACATGACTGATGAATGGATTGTTTGCATTTAAAATGTAGAACAACAATATATTCACCAAGATAGTAATAATTAACCTTGGAGCCTAGTGTAATTTGGTACTCGTATGTGACAGTGTACAATGATGACTAATCAAGTTAATAGTAATACACACCAATTAGGTACTAAAATTTTATGTACTAATTCAAATAGTAAACAAGTGGTAACCGTCGCTGTCAGACGTAAATAGCATTATGGTGTCACGGAATACACTGTCACGTCTATGACACCCTTCATATAAGGGATTTTTAAAAATGGAGTAACAAATTCACATCCATAATGTCACTAGGGAGATTGACCTAAAAATGTCTTTGAGGCTTTCCATCTTTATTTTCCCATTGAATTAGATATTAAGACAATTTCTAATTTAATGGGATGTAAATTATTAGAGAATTATAAGAGAGGACGAAGAACGGGCAGCAGCGTCCCTCTTAAAACATCTCCAAAGCCTAACTGCGATTATTAATCCGCGTACCAAACGTGTCAAAATGGCAACCAATCCCCCCCCCCCCCCTAGGATGAGGCTTATATTCAGTAGTGGACAGTTCACGACTGATATGACGATGATGATTATGTAAATGTATATTTGTTTTACTTATGTACAAACTTATTAAGTATGCACTTTCGTGTTCTTCTACCGCTATAAATTTTTCTTACAGATCTTACAGACTTATATTAAAATTTGAGTTGAGAAAATTAATACTAGGAAGACCGGCATTGTGCTTTCTATCTGTTGTGTTATAATAATATTGTATCGTTTCTATTTTATTATTCTCAATCAAAATAACGGACAAACCGCCCACGTATTTATACTAAAATAATGATTTACAATATTGTTATATAACGTTCAATAATATTAATTCTTACTAATATACTAATATAATGTAAAAATTTGTAAGTATATTTAGATATCTGGACATTTGTTATTCAATCTCGCTTTTATGGTTGAACAGATTTGTATGCTAATTTACGCGAACAAAGTCAAGGATCACAGCTAGTTATATACATAAAAACATTAATGACGTCTTACAACTTAACTCGCTGCTGGGCCGCCACTTCGCCAGACGTCCGACGCCCTTTCCTAGAAACCCAAGTCAGCATACACCGACCCGTATTCATTAATGTTTTTAAGTTTGTTCTGCCTTCAATTGAGTAGTATGTAACCAATAGCCAGTACTTCGAACTGCTACAAAATCGTTATGATCATACAATAGCAGTAATGGATTACCCCAACTGGGTAGACTGTAGTTCTGGCATAGAATAGGCCACCTCTTCTTTTCTCATAAATGTGTTAAGAGACGACTATAGGAGCTTAGTGGTCGACAGAAAAGCAGCAGTTTCCCTCTTAAAACATTACTAAAAGCTAATTACTGGCAAAACTCTCTTTAAGAGAGAGGCCTACATATGTTTAGCAGTGGACAGTTAACGGCTGATAAGGAAATGATGACATACGTATATGAGAATTACAAAGGGCATCAAATTAATTGTTATACTGTTTAATAGACACCTAATAAACTCGTTTAGCGGTAAATTTACGACGAACATAAAACATTCAATCCGAATGCAACCTTGGAAATTGTTCTTTCCCTCTTGATGTGGCTCACTATATTATCTTTGGTGATTATGAAAAGAAAGATTTATGGAAGCCACATAATGCCTCGTCTAACTCGAAGAATCCCGTACCGATCTCTAGTTACAGAATAAAACCAAAAATAAATCCACACACAATCATCAATCATAATTTGCCACGCGCGAGTTCTTGGCTTATGTCGCGTCGACCCTGAACAAGATGCTAAATTTAGTGCAGCAGCCCTTCTGCAATGCCCATTGACGATAACTCAAGCGATGTTTGGACTTGCACACTTGCACTGCAGTTCACGCAGTTTACTAAATAAACTTTGAAATCGAAAAATAAGAAAGAACAAGAAAGAGATTAAACTGATGACTGTTATTTCAGTGAGAGAGAAAGATAAATTTTTTTGGGAAGCGAAATATTTTGCTGTCATTTTATAAACATTACTCATGTTTGAGACTAAATTATCCATTTTAATCTATCTGTGGCATAATTATAGCATCTTATGGTCTGTACAAATAAGATAAACAATAGATACACGAAATAAAATAATATTTTGCAGGTGTAGAATCAATTTATTAAATCAATCAATTATTATCAATAATTTATTTATGCAATAAAATGGAAGTTACAATGTGCTATGTCATTCGTATTTAATTAGGTAAAACCCCTTGATAAGACCTATTTATAAGTAATAAAGATTTTTTTACCATATTCTATCTGTAAAACTACGATTAAACATTCTATTTTTTTGCTTTTGCTACTTGTTGCTCTTTCTTTGGGGATGGTTTATAACCAACTTGATCTTCTGGATCATGAGGCCAAAAAGTTGGTCGATTAACAGGATCCAAAGCCTGATCAGGATATATTTCAGCGTACATTTCCAATGTCATCTCTTCAAATTTTGGTAATGCCTTAATTCTTATTAGTTCTTTATTTGCCCTGCACAAAAGGTAAACAAATTCAACATACAATATAACTTAACAAAATATACAATAAGACTTCAATATTAAATTTGAGAAGTAATAATAGACTACATGATGACCTCAATCGATCGAAGATAATATATTTAAATTAAAATTAGAAATTCCTGACAGTGGTAGAAGATTAATCTTATATTGTCAATTTAATAAAAATACATTTGCAAATTACAAAAACTGAGAAATTTTGAAGGTTTCTTGTGAATTATATCTGTAATGCAATGCATCAATTCTTACGTAACTAACCAACTCATTTGATTTCAATTTAAAAGTTCGTCACCGTAAAAACACTTTTTGATAAAATGCGCTGTTTAAAACTATTTAAGTAGTTCAATAGGTGAAATAAGTCATGAATACGATCAAAGAACGTTGAATGAATTTTCATCAAACAAACATCAAATCCGTAAATGTTTGATAAACCTTTCAAATCAATGTGTAAATTATTAAACTGTTTAACCGTCTCAAAAATCCAAGGAGAAGGTTTTCTGGGGATATTGGTGTTACCAACTTAAGAGTACATACATTCATTTGCAAAGTTTTTAAAATCGATCACCTAAAGCTATATTTGTAAAATAAATAAAAAATAATTTATGGTAAATTTGTAATTTTTTTGTTGGAAAAGTAGCAAAAATTGTAATTATTCTGCTTCGGACTTACTCATCGATTTGTTTCTGTTGTTCAGCACAAAAAGCTTTAATTTGAGGTTCCAGTGACTTCCATTGGTCATCTATAGCTTGAGAAAATGTATCTGCGGGTACAGCCACCTTAAAAGACTCATATTGCGATTTGAATTTATCAACTAGCCCTTTAACTGGTACTAATTTCTGGTACTCCTCCCAATTTATTTTGGGAGGCTCAGGTGGATTTGCTTCGACCCTAAAGCAATTAATATACAAATCTTGATCAAAAAGATGACTGTAAATAATATTATGAAAGTTACCCTTCATTCGTCTTTTAAGAACTGATGAATACCATATTCTATAACATTTTTTAATAGTCTATAAAACAAACTTTTAGATAACACACTCTTAGAAGGAATCAATAGCTTTAACTGTAGCAATTTGATTTTGCTGATATACCTATGTAATAATCTGCAATTTTTAAATATTTACCGCCGTAAATAACTATCGGATTTTGTTTTGAATGCTAAAAATTTTCCCTTCTGGCCAGGAGGCACCCGTTTTTCAAATTCCACCCAATTTATACTTGGTTTGGTAAATCTTTTTGCCATTTTAGTTGCTGACGGTACAAAATAATATTTTTCTGTAATTAAGATACACGTTTATAGAACAACAGTGGCATCTTACTAGCTGTCAAATAATTGTAAATTTTAAAATATAAACTTGTCATGGTTAAAAAAGTTTATATATTCTCAATATGATTAAAGGCTCAGAACACATTATATTTTTAGTATCAACACATACTTACAAACTATACTCATGGTACTTATGTTGCTTTTTAGAACATTCTTTTAACTATTTACATCGATTTATTAAGGCTTTCCAATAGCTCCTGCAACGGCAAATGAATACAGAAAAATACGCACAATTTTTACACATTCAAACATAAAGAATCCACAAAAATACGATGCTGCACCGAAGCAATCACTAACATGTGCAATTCTATATCTATGTATACAACAACCGATTACTATAAAAACCAATTGAAACATTGACGCAACAATTTCTCATCGCTGATTTAAAGTATCATTTATTTTCTGGTCCTAATATAGAAAATAACCAAGCTGAAATTATTATACATAAAACATCACTTTACTCCCAAATATTTTGACCATACAATAAGAACAAAGAATAAGAGAAAGAGCTCTAAGAGCTTATTCGTTTTAACTTAATAATACATTCCGTCATTTTATACCTTCACATTTCAAGTTGAACATTCTATATTCATAAATTGAAATAGCATTGGAGAGTAAAAGACATTCCAAGAATCATATTACAGTACTGGGATAGAAATGCTTTCACTTCAGGCATAAATAAGCCGATTATACCACATGCGATGTTGAAGACACGACACAGACATGCAAAATCGCGTGCAAAGATGTTGCCAGGCTCATGTTCCGTAGGTCGGGAACCTTATCTAATTAGCATATGTTGACTGAACGCTTCAATGTAACCCATTAAAATCTTCACATCTAATGACCGCACTTCATCACTAAGTAGAATATAGATTTAAGATATTATGTTACTTACTGTATTTACTCATTTTATAGGCGGCGAATTTATTTTTTATTTGTCAGGTCACAGATTATACGATACTATTATACTGTATTATATATTCAATTTTTTTTACTGGATATTATTTAGTTTATCTTTAATTGTAGGGTTATTACCCTTATACATTCTACAGTTTTCTTTCAGCTTCTCAAAGGTGGACTGTAAGAGATCCCTTTATGGGATAAGTCCGCCATTGTATATTAAATCATTTACCAATGTTTAATCTGAGTTACGTACAATAAAGATTATACAATTATACAATACTAGTAGTCGCGTAATGGTGGATGTATTAATGTCAAAATCTATAATTATAATGATCAAAATATCGTTTTCTACATTGCTTAGTATATAAACATAAGGTTTGTTTTTATTTAAATGTTAAATTGATTCTCATATTGTAGAATTTTCAACGTAATTAACTACCAGACTACCCAGATCTCTGATAATTAAAAACCAGAGGGGGACTTTGTACAAAAGTCGTTTGCTTGGGTACCTCTGTCCCGTTCGTGTTTCAACCGTAAAGCAGTTATGTTTGCATAGCTGTGTTTGGGTTTGAAGGGCATGTATGGCAGTGAATTTATAGGGTACAGAGGAAAAACACCTGAGTCCTCAGGAATGGCAACGCATGGGGGGTATCATGGGCGAAACAGTATACTCTGTTATGTCCATGGTACTGCTCATGTCCATAGGCGACGGCTACCACTTTCCATCAGGTGGGCCGTCAGCTGGTTTGTATAAAAAAAAAACAGATTTAATGCGTTAATATTTTTATATGCTTTATAATTCACAATGACATAAATAAATGTCAGTTTTGAGTCTCCAAAGTATAAAATTTGTAGTAAATGATATAAGACACATCCAGAAACGATCCCATCATAAAATCTTTTATCGATTAATTAGAAGCTAATTGATTCGAAGTTAAACGAAGATGAAACAAAAAAGCCTATTCTAAAATGCCAGTCTTTCAAATTTTCTGATTTATGTATAGAATTGGACGATAATATTTTAGAATTAACTTCAATTTACTAGTTAAGAACATCACATCGTCTTATGCTTTAACTATCCTTTCCTTTAGGTAGTTTTGATAGTATTAGTTTTATGAAAGAGTCTTAGATACTTGACTAAGTCTTGAAACCTTTCTCACGTCCAGAGACTACTTTTGCTTCTTATTCTTATTAGTATTGTATTCTATTGGCTACAAAAATAAAAGAATAAATAGGCTAATTCTAAAATGTCAGTCTGTAAACTAACTCCTCCTAACTTTAAAGGTAGAGTTAAAAAGGACCTTTAGAATCTGACTGGTCATTACCCAATACCAGCTAACAATATCACATCATCACATACCGGTTATGTTAATAAACGAACATTCGTAATCTTAATCTAAAAAAAAAAAAACAGTTTTGATAATTCGAATATTCCATACTTGACCTAAAGATTGAAGCCCTTCACTGTACCCTTGGGCAATGGCAAATCGAAGAATTCCTTTAATAGGCTGACTGTTTTTGTATCACATGATGACGTATCAGATAATATTTATCATTTCGCGATAAGATAGCGCCTGGTATTTTGGGTAAGTTTGCAATAGGTGCGAGTACATACATGTTGAATTATTCAATTGGTGTTGTTCGTACTGTGTCCAGTGTGCATGACGGGGCCCATAGTTCCTGGAACGGTGAAAAATTATTTGGCATATTACTAACGCGATCCGGTTTACCGTGTGATAATCAAAGGTAGACTTACAGACGCAACTATATTTCTTATCTATATAAATTCGTAATAATGTGTAATACAATTGCCAGTTTTTTTCCTTCTACGTGATACAACTTTTTTTATAATAAAATAGAAATGTTTTGTGAATAAAATTGTTTGCAATAATATATTTAATGAATTCACATATTGAATTTTAAAATATTAATAAATGACCACACGTGAAATAAATTGTGATTTTTACTTACTGTGGTACTTAATTTCTTTATTGTTTTAATTGGGTTACAGCTTGTTGGACTTAAAAGTGTCTAGAGTGTTAACAGGTACGATAGATATTATTAAATATATCTGTGTTAAAGTAATTAAAGGTACACTAAGTCGTTGAATTCGTTGAATAAACGGTTATCATGACATTACCATTTCCATTATTTCAAATTGACATAATATATCATACCACAGCATTGGATCCTAAACCAAATCTGATCGCGCAATCTTTGTTAATATCTAATTTATACATAATCAGTCTACGGGTGGACAACGCCTAATTAATTTATTTTGAGTCACACGCTCTTTTAAATTCCAGTTTGATAATACGAGTTACATTATCTTTTATTATTTATTTATTATTACCTACAACACATTATCATTACAGAATTGATAAGTGCAAAAATGAGTCAGTGTAGCTGCCTTGTTTTCATATAGAAAGTACCGAATTGTATAAAAATGTATACAATATTTGTACAGAAGGCAAGGACTGACAAGACATGTATATACTGATTATAATGTCATTATATGTTTAAACAAATAGGTATAATTTGTAAAATTACTACCTTTTACCCACGATGTATATGACCAGTGTGATTCTGGCATAAAATGGGACACCCTTTCCTTTCTCGTGGGTGACGTAAGAGGCGACTAAGGAAATTTAAAGGTCGAAGGATGAGCAGCAGCCTCTCTCTTAAAACGTCACCAAAGCTTAAATACAGTTACCAACCTGCTTACCAAGTGAGGTAACAACTGGCAATACCCCCAATAGAAGAGTATTATGTTCAGCAGTGAATAGTTTATGACTGATATGATGATGATGATGATCCGCGATATTATCCGCATAACTCGAATAAAAAGTAACCATAACAAATACTTTTTTAATTTTTACTTAGAGGCAAACAAGCTGACGGCCAACCTGATGGAAAGTGGTAACCGTCGCCTATAGACATGAGCAGTGTCATGGACATAACAGAATATATTTTTATTGCAAAATTTCGTAATTACTATTACTCGGAGGAAGATGGCGCCTTCTAATGCTTAGAATTTCTAGAGGCCGCTTTAGTTATACGCAGTAGTTCTCTGACACAATATAACAGACGATAGCTTTACGTGCTCGTCAAAACACAAAGCGAGTCGTTCAATAATATTTTTTTTTATACCAAAGGAAGGATGTTATCCACATAATTAGCAATTCAATAGTAGTAATTGCACTCGTATGAAATTACACGTATTGGAAAGTAGATTGCACATAATTCAATGGTTTTCATTCCCAGTATGTCGATAGATAAACAAATACTAGGGAAACATAGCTCAGTAAAGCAGGGGGAAAGACATTGTTAGTAATTGAGACTGAGAATCCCATTGCTAGCAATATACCCAACCAGGTCAACCTCCTCGCGATTCTCCCTGGAAATTATCATGGTTAATTCCTGATGAATTCATCATGATAGGCTAACTGGCCTGTTTTCATTCTCATGTATCACCCTTCACTGGTGCTCCGTCAGCGTATTCCGTTAGCGCAGGTGGGGTTACCATTCCATTTTCACCCATCCAAAAAAAAAAACAGCTCGGTAAAGCAGCGCAATAAATTGACGACTCAAAATAAAATTGTATACCGAGATATACGTTCAATGTAATAACAATATGTAATACAATTGTATTTTCCATTTTAGGTTATGTTCCTCTTATAAGGCCCAACCGTGGACCCGTTAAAGGGATTACGCTCAATTTTATTTCTTATTCAAAATCGTCATCCCATGTCAATTCTATATAGTTCCTTAGTGCAAACAGACTAACACTTTATACAACTTTTACCTGCGACTTCGTTCGAATGACGAAAAGACATCCTATCTTTACTGACCACGATAAAAAGCCTATGTCCTTCTCCATCCCATATAGTACGTGTATAGCAAATTTCATAGTGAATGGTTAAACCGTTAAGACACTAAACTCACTTTCACATTTATAATACTGGTAAGCATAATATAAAACAAAAATACCTGAGCTAATTGTTTTGTAATTAAACACATGAGTACAATTAAAATAATCAACTCACCCTTGGCATACTGTAAACGAGCGACAAATCGTCACTCCTTTTCAATTACACGACAGTATAGTCGCGTGAGCATATCCGCCGGATATTGGACGGCGATTTTACGTCTACCTTCACAAGCGCCGAATTCACGCGACGACACATTTACTGTATCACCTAAATGATTCTACTAAACTTGAACCTGAGCCACTTTCTTACAAGGAAATTTCGACCTTGTTGAAATTATAAATAAGGTTCAGTATTTTTTAGAGCGTTGTTATTTCAGTAACACGTGCCTACGAGAACGGTTTCCGCCGGATCAACTCGTTACATTTGAAAGTGTTAACTAACGCCGATAGCTTTGATGCGATATTAGTAGATACGATACGAGGAACGGCAATTGGGGCGGTATAAGAAATAGTTACAGTAACTGTCAACGTTCATTATTATCCTACGGATAATAGAAACTACTTTTTATCCGCGGCTTCGTTCATACAACCGCGTTATATTGATTATCTGAGATAAAAAACTATCCTGAGAGCCGACCGTAAAATATTTTCCGAAATTTCGGGGCCGAACAAAACACAAGATTTTAAAATTACATAATACATACCGATTAAAAATATTAATATATCGTTCCTTTGAACTATTATAGTAGAATTTACACGAATTTACGAAATGATCCATTTACTGGACCGATTTCGGTATGAACAGGAATACAAAATGTCAAGATTTTATGTCATGGTAGAACCACAGTGTCCTTCTCCATCTCAATATACCTATACATTAAATTTCTTTGGATTGGTTGAGCCATTGAAATGCCAAGAGATAATGAATAAACAAACTCACTTTCACGTATTTATAAAATGAGTAAGGTTGTGCAACTGTGATGGTCGAATATTTCTTACTTAATAAATATCGTTCATCTGTTTGAACGAACGAACTGTTTAGTTACTTCTAAATTTTTCAAATAGTTATAAAATACCCATAACTTATGTAAAATAAACCCCCAAACACAGGGACAACATTTTGGGTACAGTTATTAAATATTTATATGAGCACAAGTATCAGTACATTCTTATTATAAAAATAACGCAATTAAAACGTTTTCTTTGGGTATTTTTCATAATACACAATTTTCTTATCTGCTATGATATTTGTTTTACATAGAAATGATAAGAAATAAATATCTAGTATAATTTGATATCACAAGAAACAACAGTAAGTCTGTTGCTGATTACGATTCGTTGATCTCTTATCACACGGCATATTCTATATTTGGATATTATTCAATTCTTCATATAATTAGTATCCTACTTTTTATAGTAATGCAGGCTACATAAACTACGATAAAGTATTACAATTATTGATTAATGTACAATTTCAACTGTAGCGATAAATCACAATATATTATGATAATGATAGTAACGATTTTTTGTAGCTCTTGCGGTAGTTGAGAAATATGTGTTAACAATATTTTTTATATGTACTTATAATAAATTAAAAATTAAACTAATAACACATATTCTTACTAAAATAATGATAAAAATAAAAACAAAATATAAAACGGAAACAGTCTATTCTATAACATAAATCTTAAACGCATATCAAACCATCAGAAGCCATCTGATAACAAAATAAATGACAAATAACGACAAGAAGCGAAAACCGATCGAGCCTTCAATCGAGTTTATAAAAAAACAATCGACCATAGAACAAGTTGATACATTTTAAGAAGAAAAACTGGTTTATCCCCTATTCTGCGACGGATTGACTTTCGACACGAAAACTTGTAGCGCTATCTCTTGCTTTAGTATTGAAAACAAGCCAGACAGCAATAGAGACGTTAATAACAATATCGTTTGGAGCTCGTAATACAAGACCGTTCTCGGTTGCGGTCAGTGAAGCCCTATTGTTGCCTGAACGATGATACAATAGCATAATATGACTAGCTATGAAATTTAGATAGACTAGACTATAAACATTATTTAAAAAAAAAATTCATTTTCTCTTAAAGAAGTCCTTATTTTGTTGCATCTAATTTAAAATAATTTCTTCTTATAACTTCAAACTGGTTATTTCGGGGAATAGGAACTAAATTGTTGTCTTTTTCTAACTATTTGTTCTACTGTGTATTACATATATACATGCGACGATTAGTTTAACAACTTGTTAGCAAGGGAGGACTTATCTCTGAAAAAGATCTCTTCCAGCCAACCCAGCGTAGTTAGAGAGAAAATAATTTAATTTGGGTAATCCAGTGCAGGAAAGGTACCGGTGAAAATAATTTAAATACAACAAACACAAATTGTGAATAAATATATAAATAAATAAATATTTTTTGTTATTGATAGATAATTTATAATTCAAATAATTAAAAGAGAAATAAATTTCATTGTTTTGTTTTCACAACAATTAATGAACACCAAGTAAGAAAAATAACTCGAAATTGTATAACTATTTGGATTAAATAGATTATATTCTTCTCCATGTTTATCTACAATCATATTTAAAATTGTATCAAAATCATTAAAACTAGTTTTGTATTATCAAAGCACGTAACTAATTGCTGAAGCCGCGAATTTTTCAATCCATCCTCGTATAATGCGTGATATAATGCTATTTCTAATTTCTTAAAACTCTTCTTTGTTACAGCCCCAGCGCCATGAAGCTGGAATGGGCGGAGAACGAGTCCGACTATGGACTTGAAGAGGCCGCCTTCTACGAGGGTCCAATGACAGCTGCACCACCGCCGCGAAAACACGTCTCCTTCAGCTTGAGACTTGATTTGGTTAGTCATCGTCACTTTACAACACATTATTTGCATACATAACCATTGTTAAACATAGATCTTCCGCATATTTTCCATAAACTAAAGATTAGTAACTAGCATACTTGTAAAAATATTTACTACTTTACTTATTTGTTTTAGACTCAGGTGTTATTCCTCTTTACCCTGTAAATTCACTACCATATCCCACCCTTCAAACCGAAACACAGCACTATAAACAAAACTCAAAAATCAGTGACGAACTAAGATTACCGTATTATTGAGTGAAACTTATAGAAAATGCACTAGGTGGTAATCTATCAATACATCCTGTTAATCACTGCAATATAACGATAGAAATTTCTACTATTAGAAACCTAAGGTGCGTTTTACATGTCGTTTTTCATTAGAAAACCTGTTGCGACTGGTCCTATAGGAAACGGCAAGCTAACGATAACTTATCGATATTATAATAAAATAAACGAATTAATTC